ATAAATCCCACTTGATTATGGTGAATGATTTTTTTAATGTATTGTTGGATTCAGTTTGCTCATAATTTGTTGTAGATTTTTGCATCTAAGTTCATCAGAGATACTGGCCTGTAGGTCTCTTTTTTGTAATGTCTTCATCTAGTTTTGTTGTCAGGGTAATGCTGGCTTCATAGAATGAATTTGGAGGCTTCCCTTCCTCTTCTATTGTTTTTGAATAGTATGAGAAGAATAGGCATTAACTCTTCTTTAAATGTTTGGTAGAATTCACCTGTGAAGCCATCTGGTTCTGGACTTTTGGGGAGTTTTTGATCAGTGTTTGAATTACATCACTTACACAGTCTATTTAAATTTTCTGTTTCTTCCTGATTCACTTTTAGGTGAATATTATATATTCCCTCTAGTGTATTTTTTAATTTCACTTACAGAGTTCATCTCTCCCTGGCTCTTTTTTATATTTTCTGTCTCTTTTTTGCGGGTCTCACTGAGATATTTTCTCAAGTCCAGTGAGTATATTTATGAGCATAATTTAAATTCTCTATCAGGTATGTAGCTTCTGTTTCATTTTGTTCTCTGGCTGGATTTTGTCCTGTTGATTCATTTGGGACATAGTCTTCTGTGTCTTCATTTTGTCTAACTCTCTGTGTCTGTTTCTATGTGTTAGGCAAGTAATGGCCTTATGAAGAACAGGTTATGTAGTGCTCTGCTGTGCAGTGTCCCCTGTTCACCTGGCCCTTCCAGAGTGACTCTTATGTATGTTGCATCACCGTACTATTGTGGCTGAGCCACATTTGCCTTCAGTCCAGTTGCTGCAATGGTGCCTTTTGCCAATTGTGGGCAGGGTTTGGTTCCTGTGTTGTTAAGAGGCCAGTCTGAGATTGCCTTGGGCAAAAAAACCTTAATTTTTTGAATCATCTTTGCCAATATTAAGGAAATATGCATGGATATGTAGGTGTGTTTAGTTATACAAGAAGGAAATTTGAAATGACATAAAATATATAGCCATATTTAAATAATGAGATTAAAGGTTTTTTAACATTTCTAATTTACTATAATGGACACATATAATTTTTGCAAGGATTAAGTTATTAAAAATATGTGTGCACACACTGTAATCTTGGGGTGCCTGTGTGGCTCAGTCAGTTAGGTGTCCAACTTGTGATTTTTGGCTCAAGTTATGATCTCATGGGTCATGAGATTAAACCCTGAATTGGGCTCCACACTTAGCAGGGAGTCTGCTTGAGATTCTCTCTGTCCTTCACCTTCTGCCCTTCCCCCATTCATGCACGTGTGTGTTCTCTCTAAAATAAATCCTTAAAAAAAAAAAGAAAGAGAATGTGTCTCCACACACACTTTTTAATCTTAATCCATTCTTAGTGTACTAGGAGAATGGTAATATGCTGAGTATAAATCGGTACATCATTTCTGGAGGACAGTGTATATTATATACACTGTATATTTATAAATGTCTATATATATAAGATATACTGTTTGGTTCTCTCAATTTAAATTTTAGGAGTTTATATTAAGAAAATATTCAGATCTAGACTGCCTAGGTTTGAATCCCAGCTTCACCACTTATAACTTTGTGACCCTGGGTAAGTTACTTAACCTCACTGTGCCTTAGTTTCCTCATCCATAAAATGACACTAATAATCAACCACCTAAAATTATTATGAAGACTAAATGAGTTAATACATGCAAAATGCTTAAAACCAGGTCTGGCACATAATCAACACCCAAGAAATACTACTAGTAGTCGTCATCAGCTTTGTAATTATTACAGATACATGTGTAGATGCTGCTCTAATGTTTATGTCAGTATTGTTTACAATAAAGAAACATTTTTATGTAATATGAATATAATCCAGAAAAAAATATATGTATCATCTACATCATGTATTTATATAACCACAAACTTTTATGTTTGTATATAAATATTCATAAAAGTACATGTATATGCACATAAATATGGAGAGAGATACAGCAAATATAAAAGCATTTTTTTTCTAGGTGGTATAGAAATGACTCCTCTTTTCTCTTTTTATCCACATTTTCCTATACAGCTAACATATCTTACTTTGTAATAATTAAAAATTTATAAAATGTTATGCACAAAAATATTTATTCCATATTTCAAAAAAATAATAAAATATTAATCTAATTGGTCAGGAGTTTGGATAAGAAGTTCTTATATCTATAGGGAAGAATTCACATAGCCATTAAAAATTAAGGTTACTGCCATGGGAAATATGAATTGTTGAATCTATTGGTAAATGTAATACATAGTATGACCCTAATTTGATTTTACTCATTTGTTTAAAGGAAATGTGCTGAATGTCAATAGAGGTTCTCTCAAAATGGTTAAAATTATGCTACTTTTAATTTGCTTCTTCATATCATCAAAATTTTCATTAGTAAACACAATTTTTATAATCTTCCTTTTTTAAATAAACTAAAATGTATTAGAAAGTCATGAAGCCTCATTCTAGACTTAATTGTGTGTTTAGTGTTATTTACTTTACCTTTCCAGCCTTCTGTTTCTTCATCTATAAAACTAGTTTGATTAATTAATTTATAAATTTCTCTCCCAAATCTCTGACCCCCTCTGAAATCTTATTACTAACATACTTAATGTTACCTTTCTGTTATTCACCATTTTGATTTAAAGAACAAGACTTAATATTTCTCATTAATTTTTCTGTATTTCTTACTTGTAGTAACACCATAGTCTTTAGAAGCTATTTTTGGTTTATTTCTGCAGTTCATGTTCTTTGGTGGAACGAGAGTGCAGACAGTCGTGCAGCTGGGAGACATCAGTCTCATGAGGATCCCAGGGTTGTGGCAGCTGGTAAGCTATTTCTCCAGGCATGAATTATTCATACAACAAATTTGATTCCGTTTTTAACTTTATATGCCTTCTTATGGAATGTTTTTTTTTTCCAGTTCGGGAAAGTGTTAACTTCCTTGAGTCTCAGCAGAATATGCTTCTGATTCCTATGTCATTTTCACCATTGAAATAGTTTTCCATTGAAATACAAAGCATTTCACTAACTGTTATAAGATGTGCCTGCTATGGTGCTTAAATTCTCCCAAGAGATTCTCATTTTTATTTGAAGGAGGTGGTAAGTTAATTTGGTATGTCCTTTGCATTTTTAAAAGCTGCCTCTGGGGGCACCTGGGTGGCTCAGTGGGTTAAAGCCTCTGCCTTCGGCTCAGGTCATGGTCTCAGGGTCCTGGGATCAAGCCCCGCATCGGGTTCTCTCTGCTCAGCAGGGAGCCTGCTTCCCCCTCTTTCTCTGACTGCCTCTCTACTTGTGATCTCTCACTGTCAAATAAATAAATAAAATCTTTAAAAAAAAAAAAAAAAAGCTGCCTCTGCCCATTGTCACTACCATGAGGAAATAGTTCTGTTCATTTTCCCTTTGGCATTTTAGTATCTGTCATACATTAAAAATTCTTGTCATTCCTACAAGATCTTGGTTTTTCATTGTTTCAGAGTGTCTCTTGTACTCTGTTTTGACAACCCTCTGCTTTTATGGCATTTCCTTATGTTGAAGTGACTGTCACATTTCCATGCCTATAATAATATTTTTAAATTATTTATATACATTGGCAACCTTCTCATGTCTATTTTTCTGAAATTTTAAAAGTTTTTGTCCAGTAAAATTTATTTTGTAATACTGAATGGGATTCATAAAAATATTAAACATGTTTATTATGGAAAAGTACAGTATCATCTGTATCATCATTATTAATTCTGGTTTTTACATTAATAATTACTTATATGGAAAATAATGTTATTAGATCCTCATATTAAAAACTGTTGAAGATTCATTGGTTTAAATGCTGAAATATCTTCATTTACAATTTATTTTTCTATTACTTCACTTTGGATTACTATTTAACAAAGATACCTGGAACAATCTGTCTCTGATAATGAGATATTTATGGTTATGAAAATGTTTGCCCTAATAAAAGCCTTCAAATAAATTCTGAGTCTTTTTTTTGTGTGTTTTATAGTTGTATCCTCTTACCTGGAACTATTGTGTTGCTATATAAGGTAATGAGACAATAATACATACACTGTCTTGAGGCATGTGGGTGGCTCAGTCAGTTAAGCAGCTGCCTTTGGCTCAGATCATGATCCCAGGGTCCTGGGATCGAGCCCCATGTTGGGCTCTCTGCTTAGCGGGAGCCTGTTTCTCACTCTCCCTGCTGCTTCCCCTGTTTGTACTCTCTCTGTCAAATAAATAAAAAAAATATTTTAAAAAATAAATTAAATAAATAAATATGCTGTCTTTATTGTAAGTATTAAGTTACTTCAAGTAAATAGCATTCTAATAACCCTACAAGGAGAATTTCTTTAGTACTGCTGTCACAGATATACTAGGATTTTTCTTCCAGAAAACTTTATTTTAGTTGAGTACCTCAGCATTCTTAAATTAGATTTGGTACTTCCAGGCTCTCATGGTAGTCTATATTTATAGCTATATGATTTTATGTGTCCAATATATATTGCAAATACAACATATTAAATTATTAGCTGCCTGAGAGAAAACTGAAAAACAGGAAGCATACTCACCTCTCACTTACCTGGTCCTCAAGAATTGAAAAGACAGATACATTTCCTAGTGAGGCAAACAACATCCTAACTCTGGAGGTAAAAACCCATCAGAGAGGTTTTGAGTTTTGACTAAGAGTCTTCTACCTCAGTGTTTCTTTAAAAGTTGTCACTTAGCAAATTAGGTGACAGTAGTGCTATTTGCAGTCGGTGTAAACAGATACTCTCTCTGGCATAAGATCAGCTCTGTGTCATGAAAACGTACAGCTGCTTCTGCCTTTCCCTTTTTCATTCATGTTTAGATTAGCTAGAACACTTAGAAGAGACAGGGGCTCTTTCATCCAATCCATAGCCCTGACACGGAGATTTAGAAAGCAGCAGCAGGTGGGTGTTCTTACCATGTCCCACAAAAACTGGAGAGCCAGTACGTGACAGTCTACACTCTGCTGATGAACTACAGGTGCTCTACCTCACGGACCCACTCCTGGATCAGGAACACAACAGAGCTGGCTGAGACGAAGAACATCTCAAAGATGACACAGATGGACACAAGGATGTCCATGACATGCTCCTCCTGCAGAGAGAAAGTCAGTGAAGATCTGTCTGAAGAGTCACTGATGCAGCTGAGAACACAATCAAGGAGGACACACACACACACACACACACACACACACACACACCTGATGAATAGCCCAGGGAGAAACATCTGTTCAATAAATAAATACATTTCTTTTACTCAGAGTTTAAACATGATTATTTTCAAGTCAAAAATCTGAAAAACAAATGCATAACATCTCACTGGGTTAAAAAGTCCAGTACTGGGGCACCTGCATGGCTCAGTGGATTAAGCATCTGCCTTCACCTCAGGTCATGATCCTGGGATCCTGGGACCCAGCCCCACATCGGGCTCCCTGCTCAGTGGGAAGTCTGCTCCTCCCCCTTTTCTCCCTCTGCTGCTCCCCCTGCTTGGCCTGAGAGTGGCCAAATGACATTCACTCTGGTCCACTGTTCCTGACCTGATAAGAGCTGCAGGTTGTAACTTCTCACACATAAAATATGGCTTAAAAACTTAGTAAGTACAGAAATAGTAATGTGAAACTACTGAAATTCTTCCAGCTATAGATAAACTTAAAACAATAGTATATAGTATATCAATCTACTAGACACAGAAGTTCTAAAAAAAAAAAAAATTCTAAGATTCTGGTTATAAGAATGATCCTATAAGCCCATTACAAAGGGTCTCTTCTTTTTTAAGATTTTTTTATTTATTTGAGACAGAGCACAAATGGAGGAGGGGAAGAAGGAGAAGTGCCTCCCAACTGAGCAGGGAGCCCCACGTGGGGCTCAATCCCAGGACCCTGGGATCGTGACCTGAGCCGAAGACTGATGCTTAACTGACTAAACCACTCAGGCATCCCACAAAGGCTCTTCTATAAAATTCCTAATGACCTATACTGATACTGTATAGAAGAGAAAGAATAACTGCTATGCTCCATATACAAGATACACACTTTGAAATATTAAATAGAGTAGCTCAGTCCTGGCTGCCACAAGATTACTAAATACTAGTGATGACTTTGTAAATAAGCTGCTTTATGATCTGAGTGACCTACAATAATTCCCACATACCAGCAACTCGGGGCCCACCTTCCTGACAAGTCTTGGGTTAGATAAAGTACCCTGGCCAACTTCAAGTGTTTCTTTACTTGCTTACTGGAATCTTTTGACTCAGAGGAAGTGACTGAGAATTACTGGCACCCAGGCAAAACCCACCAAACCTATATAACAACCTGATATAAAATATAGACAGTGTGGAAAATAATACCACTCAGCAGCAGACTCCACATGAATATGTACATGTTTCATTTAGATATTTCTTCTTCAAAGAAAATTCAAAGTTAGAATCTGTGAAAGTTACATCACAGCCACCTCTAATGGATTCTGGCAAACTTTTGACTCTAACAGTTCCTGCCCAGGTTGCTAAGAGAAGCTCCAGTGGGAAAGAGAAGGGACCTGAGCCTGGTATGGACTCTGACATCTGACACACTGAGGAAAGAATGGTTATTTGTCTCTAATGCTCCTCTGACCTTGGTAGCTCAGGCCTGAACACAGGTCTCAAGCAGGCAGATGGGGAGCCAAAACAGTGAGGGACACTGACCACAGTAAGCTAGAGAGGGCTGGATAGAAAGCTATGGTGCTTTCCTAGCAGAAGGGCCACTTTAGGGGTCCCACTTTGCACTGTTCAGAGTTCTATGGGTACCAGCTCTTGGGGAAAAGACAAAGGAGGAAAAGTAGGAAACAGTGACAGAGCTAAGCTTTGAGGCAGCCGTATAAGGCATCTCATTTTCCAGGAGGTATGAAAAGACTTCAAGGATTCCTCCTCTTCTTCTTAAGTCCCACCTGATCCTTCAAAGCACAAAGGAAGAAATGGGTTGAAAAAACAAGGAAAATAGGTAGTTTTAATACCATTTCTTCAATCCATCTTTGGTCCATGTAAAAAGTGAAAACTGAAAAAGTGTCTTGGATCCACACAACTCTCTGGGAATCTGATTTGGAAGAAAAGTATAACTAGGACAGGAGACTCATACTTTGAATAAAACCAATTTAAAAATCACCTTATTTCATAACATGACTGAACTAGAACTCTGCAAATTTAAAGAAAGCACATGTGTCATATGTAGCACAACTGGAGCAGAAAACGAAATGGATAACAGTGACACATGTCCCTAGAAAGTGGATCACAGTGTGACCAGACCCTGCCACAGAGCCAAGGTGCTGCCATCAGCCAAACACCGAGGTCTAGTCCATTCTGCCCTCACCATTGGCCATTCACTTATGCCAAGCCAAGATGTCCCCCAGGAAATTATCCTGAGCTATTCAACAATAGACAGTGGAACATGACTCGTTAAGAGTCACCAAGGTTCTCAGGAAGCAGTATCACTGACTACACCTGGTGACTACTTTGGTTCACTGGAGTTATAATGACGAATAGATTCACCCTTAACTTTAAAGAGAAGTAACCAGGACTTAAGTTCTCACACCCATTTACAATTGCTTGTCCCCATCCTGCAACCTAGATGCTGATAAAGCAACAGAGGGAGACCACAAGCAAGCCTCTTCCTGAAACTGTTCTCAGAAAAAGGCTCAGAACTGCTCCCCACACTCACAGTCTCAGAGAATGTCAGAGTTTTAAGACCCACAGAAGTCTCATGGGCCTGCCTCCCTAATTCAGAGGTGAGGAAACAGGCCCAGGGGGGCTGAGCGGCCTGTCTGAGGTCACCAGCTCATCTGTGGCACAAGCAGGGATGGAGCCAGGTCTGTCACAAGATATTGTGTCACATTACCTCAGTGGGAGAAACCAGACTGTGCCTTCCACAGCCCATGGATCCAGAGTGCTGAGATCTGGTTTTAACTCAAACAAGTAAGTAAGCTAGGCTGACTTTTCAAAATAGAGAAACAAGTTACACTAAGGTATAGGAACTTGCAGAGCAAGTCCCTTCCCCTCAAAACCCACATGCTATTCTCTCCGATAAGAATTAAGCTCAATGTAGCAAATAATCCTAAAATTTGTATGGAATCAGAAGAGACCCCGAATTGCTAAGGAAATGTTGAAAAACAAAAATAAAACTGGGGGCATCACGTTACCTGATTTCAAGCTTTACTACAAAGCTGTGATCACCAAGACAGCATGGTACTGGCATAAAAACAGACACATAGACCAGTGGAACAGAGTAGAGAGCCCAGATATGGACCCTCAACTCTATGGTCAAATAATCTTCAAGAAAGCAGGAAGAAATATACACTGGAAAAAAGACAGTCTCTTCAATAAATGGTGCTGGGAAAATTGGACGGCTATATGTAGAAGAATGAAACTCGACCATTCTCTTACACCGTACACAAAGATAAACTCGATATGGATAAGAGACCTCACGTGAGACAGGAATCCATCAGAATCCTAGAGGAGAACATAGGCAGTAACCTCTTTGATATTAGCGACAGAAACTTCTTTCAAGATATGTCTCCAAAGGCAAAGGAAACAAAAGCGAAAATGAACTTTTGGGACTTCATCAAGATCAAAAGCTTCTGCACAGCAAAGGAAACAGTCAACAAAACAAAGAGGTAACCCATGGAATGGGAGAAGATATTTGCAAATGACATACAGACAAAAGGTTGATATCCAGAATCTATAAAGAACTTCTCAAACTCAACACACACAAAACAGATAATCGTATCAAAAAATGGGCAGAAGATATGAACAGACACTTCTCCAATGAAGACATACAAATGGCTATCAGACACATGAAAAAATATTCATCATCACTACCCATTAGAGAGATTCAAATTAAAACCACATTGAGTTATCACCTTACACCAGTAAGAATGGCCAAAATTAGCAAGACAGGGAACAACATGTGTTGGAGAGGATGTGGAGAAAGCGGAACCCTCTTAACACTGTTGGTGGGAATGCAAGTTGGTGCAGCCTCTTTGGAGAACAGTGTGGAGATTCCTCGAGAAATTAAAAATAGAGCTTCCCTATGACCCTGCAATTGCACTACTGGGTATTTACCCCAAAGATACAGGTGTAGTGAAAAGGAGGGCCATCTGTACCCCAATGTTTATAGCAGCAATGGCCACAGTCGCCAAACTGTGGAAAGAACCAAGATGCCCTTCAACGGATGAATGGATAAGGATGATATGGTCCATATACACTATGGAGTATTATGCCTCCATCGGAAAGGATGAATACCCAACTTTTGTAGCAACATGGACGGGACTAGAAGAGATTATGCTGAGTGAAATAAGTCAAGCAGAGAGAGTCAATTATCATATGGTTTCACTTATTTGTGGAGCATAACAAATAACATGGAGGACATGGGGAGATGGAGAGAAGAAGGGAGTTGAGGGAAATTGGAAGGGGAGGTGAACCATGAGAGACTATGGACTCTGAAAAACAACCTGAGGGTTTTGAAGGGGTGGAGGGTGGGAGGTTGGGGGAGCCAGGTGGTGGGTATTAAGGAGGGCACGTATTGCATGGAGCACTGGGTGTGGTGCAAAAACAATGACTACTGTTACGCTGAAAATAAAAAAAAAAAAAAGAATTAAGCTCAAGACTGAAAGACAACCCCCTGACAGGATAGCTCAGCCATTCCTTCCTCCCCAGCAGAAGCTCCCAGCCCGCCTGCACTGACATCTGCTCAGTCACACGGAGAGCGACTCACCTGTGGAGGAGGCAGCCCCCCTGCCCCCAGGGGACACACAGGCAGCATCTTCTTGATTTTGTCACTGCTACACTGGCAGGTGGGTGAGGGGTTCTCCATCGTCCAGTTCCCATTTTGGAAGAGGTCCACGATGGTCTGGGGGACCAGGGCGGTGGTCCACTCCTCCTCCCCCACAGAGCAGGGCATGTTTCTGGAAAGGGAGGACATCAAAGGTAGCATCACCTGAGAGGACCTGGCCTTTCCTGGAGCCTCAGGAGCACAGACCAATCAATAACAACCACAAACAGGCATCTGTGCCCTCACCATTTGCTTGATCTCCCCACAGACCTGTAAGCTGCAAACTCACTTTACAGTTAAGGATGAAGGAACACAAAGAGGCCCTAAATGCTCATGTACCAAACTCCAGTCAATCCAATCTGCCAGCATTTGGTCTCTTGCCCCTGTGTTCACTCAGTAAATATTCACTGAGCACATACTATGTGCCAGACTGTTCTGCATATTTGAGAGTTTGGGGTGAGCAAGACAAAGTCCCTACCTCCTGTAGAGGAATTTGGCAATAAGCAAATGTCACTTAGCCAAAAATAAAGCAAAATAAGAGAACAGTGAATCAGGGGAAGACAGACTACTTCTTCCTAGGAGGGTGATACTTCTTCCGAGGCATGAACGATCAGAAAGCAGCAGCCAGGGAAAGATTTGGGTAAAGAAAACACTACAGGCAAAGGCAATAGAAGGTATAACTACAAAGTCCCTCAAAAGAAATGAACTTCCATGTTTGAGGAACAGCAGGAAGGCAGTGAGATGGGACGGGATGAGGTAGGAGGGAGAAAGATGGGAGATGACGGGTGGGGCGAAGCAGGGGCAAGATGACATGGGCCTGGGAAGGAGTCTGCATGTTATGCTCAATGTGCTGTGAATCTGGCACAGAATGGCAAATTTGCTTTATGTTTTAAAATGAGTACAGAATTGGGGTTTGGAGGGGACGCAGTGAGGGTGCTTAGTACATGAAGCGCTAGTTTGTCTGCAAGGATCACGAGGCCTTTATGCCTGACGTGAGCTCCGAATCACTGTGGACCATCACTAACACGCTTGCCCTCTTGGGTCTTATCTTCTCCACCAGTAAAATAAAACTACAAAATGACATGGTGAAACATGTCATTTCTAATATCCCTTCCAGTTCCAAGATTCTACAATGCATAGCCACACTCTTTATGTTATTCTTCTATGTACTAAAAACATCAAAGGAATAGATCTGTGTACTGCTCTGTAGTTCTCTCTAAGGCTCTGTAACTTGATGGAAAAGTCAAAGTAAGACATGGGGCTCACACTCCAAAACTTCACAAGATGACTGGCTGAGACAAAGCTCAATGCCACAGTCAATGTCCCAGTCAAACTTCCCTCAGTTGTACTCCTTTTGGTGAAACCTAGAATGCAAATTCAGGAAAAGCTACCAGAATGGAGACCTTCCATCACCCCACGCCTCACACACATACACACATACACACACACAGCGGTGCTCTGCCCCAACCCTGTGAATCCTCTGACAGCAGGGACCAGACCTCCGCTGTCTGAACCTGTCTAGCTCTGAGCCCAGACCCAGCTCCTTCTCTGCTGCCACTTATCTGAGTCCATACTGCTCAGCAGTGGTGTATGATGAATCCACCTTACCTCATTCTTCTACCTCACCTATGAAACATGCAAGTATGTCAAAAGTCAAAAGTCTTGTGACCTCAGAGAGGATGTCTCCATGCCCTTTTCCATCACAGTCATTTTGTTCTTTAGGAACTGATACTGGCTGCTAGGGCTTACTTACCCCTGAAGCAGTAAGTACCAGCAAATGTTTAGTAAATATCGAATAATAAGAGCTAGCAAGGACATGATAGTTATCTATCTAGAAATCTGCTCTGAAACCTTGCATGCCCAGGTAACTGGCTCACTGGTCTGTCCACTTGCAAAGCCAGTAACTTCCCTTTAAAACCTGGAACTCAAGTTAGTCCTTCTCCAATCTTCCTATACCTTCCACACTCTCTATAATTCCTTCCAAGTCTGTGTTATAACTGAGCCAGAACCTCATTCTACCTGAGCCTGGAACCTGCATGGGCCTTGGCTTGGGTCACTTGGAAACTCACCTCTCTTCACAGTTGTTATGCACGAAGACCTCCAACACACCCCAGCCCACTTAGAGACACGGGCATTTCACTGCATTTATCCAGATACTACCTACTTCCCTAAAAAGGATTTTGAAGGAAAGTACAAAAATATGCAACCCCAAAAGAAGAAAAAATCCATTTTTATACACAATAATACAGAACACGTTTTCGGGTTGGTAGAGTGAAGAAGCTGATAAATCAAACTGCAAATTCTATATAATGGCAGCTTATCTCTGCTTTTAGGTATAGGAGTTGGCAGAAGAGAAGAATGGGAAAGCACTGGATCTGTACAAAGTGCTATTTGAATTAAATATTAATCTCTAAAGCAGCAAATAAATGTCTGTAGTGATTTTGCTCTGCAGGATGATAGAAAACTCTCCTACTTGGCTCTGTTCGTTCCTAGATTCTGGTTAGGTTATTACAACAGTTTTTTTAAAATAAAAAATGCTTCAAAGGACAAATGATCCTAGTCACCATGTGGCATCTATCATAGCTGATAAACATAATATAGCAGACATCGAACCAGGTGACAAGCAGAAGACAACCCAGCTATCGAGGGTCTCAGAGCTCAAGGGGCACTTACGGGATCGGATTTCCTTCCATACAGCGGGTCCCGAAGCCAGGGTGTCTGGTGAGGGCATTCAGGAGTTCCTGGGTGCCCATGTCCTCAGGAGCATCATTACTGTGGGTACATGAGAAGCAGCCAGCTCAGCAATTTATTAAAACCAGGAACTGGGAAGTGGAATTGTTCTTCTAAACGGAATACTTTATTAGGCACTTCCTAGTGCCAAGCGCTCTTAACCAAAATGAGCAAAATACAAAATGTACCCAAAAGGAGAGGACACTGACTGCGTATTTGAGATCAAGGTAAGGGACAGCCCTCTCAGCTTGTATAAGTTGTAATGAGTGGAGTTGTGTATATGGGTGTGCACACATGTATAAACACCCATGCACATCTATCTATCTATCTATCTATACTTCTTTAATGTGAAGGAATTTGTTAAGGACCAGTTTTTCAAAAATACTTTCAGAATTATCCATGAAACGTGAACCAAACAGTTTTAAGGGTTAGATATATATCTATAGATAGATAGATAGATATTATTTTTTCTTTTCCACTTTCTCTTGGGTTTCTGGTTGGTTTCTTTTCCTCTAAGAAGGTTTTTATTTGTTTTCTAAGGGTGCTATTCCAAGATACCACAAGCCTAGTGGCTGAAACAACAGATGTGGATAGTGTCACAGTTCTAGAGGCTACAATGGTGGTAGTCAATGCTCCTTTTTTAGGTAATAGGGAAGGATCTGTTCCAGGCCCCTCTCCCAGCTTGAAGGATTGCCCTGGCTTTGGACTGTGGCTAGAGAAGGAAGAATCGATTTGTGTATTCATGTATTTTTTTGTTTTCGTTGTTTCTTTTAAAGCTTCCCTTTTACATCACTGAGATACTTCTCCCCATCTAAAGGTCTACAAATATTATAAGACTGAGGAAAATTTCTGTGGAAGGAAGTAGAGAAATTCCTTTGGCCCTTTGTTTGAAGCACTGGATTGTTACAGAGTAGCTAGCATTCTCTAATTCTTTAATATCTGTAACACAATAAATACACAAAATGTACTGTGCAAACGAGAACCTGGAGGTGTAAAGCTGTGACAATGTACAGAAGCCCTGGGACAAAACGACAAAATTAAAACATAGCTATGAAAAGCCCACAGACTATAGCTTCCTCACAGATGTTTTGCAAGGGCAGATTATTTAGGTAAAACACAGATGACCATTCCCAATCATAGCAGAATAAAAAGAAATGAGCTCAAAGGCAGGAAGAGAGGTGGGTCTGTTAGTGGAGGTTCAGTTCGCTGCCATTCTTTGCATACGATATTAGTTTGTGTCGGGGCTTTAGAACAGCTGATAAAATCTATTCCACCGTGCAATTCTTGAGTCCACCTCCCCTTGGCCCTCAGCAGCGTCAACACGTGGTCTGCCTGAGCTCTCTTCTTTCCTGGGGCACAGAAGGCAAACACGTACCTGACAAACGTGTACTGTTCGTTGTACATCCAAGGCTGAAGTTCCAGGCTGGGGTACTTGCCAAAGGGGGACACGATCAAGCTGAACACCAGGGCAATGCAGACAAACACAGCTGGCAGGACGATCTACAACCAGGGGAGAGAGGGGGAAAGGAAATGGCAAAGAAAAAAACAAAAAACAAGGGCAAATGTCAGAGAAAGGGGCCTGGCCCAAGCCCCTAACAGTCCAGCCAGCCTCCCAGACCAGGCCGCATGCAAGTGAGTGCCACAGGACCCATAACAAAGCGCCACCAAGGCATTCATGGCAGGTGGGAAGCAGCAGATCCTGAAACCAAAACCTCCTCCCTCCAGGGCATTTCTGGAGGCTGACAGCACAAAGCCAGAGGCTGTGGCCACCCAGCAGAAACTTGAAGCTGAAAACTTTACAGAGAAAATGGTGGTCACATGTCAGGGGGACTCAGAACACTGGGTCCTGCCCTCTTCCCTCTGAAGACCCAAGAAAGACCACGATGGGCCATGAGCCCAGCTCAGCTCAGAGAAAGGCCGACAGAACCAGCCCTGCACCAGGAGCCAGAAGACACAAAGCCTGGTTCTGTGTCTGCCACAAATGTATCCACAGGAAGTCACTCCCACTGTGGCCTCAGTAATCTCACTTGTAATCTACAGACCAAGACCAACTGACCCTGTCAGAATCCACGCTCTGAAAGGGAAAGCAACCACTGTCACCATGGAATTGCTTCAAAAAGCGTCATTACCGAAATCCTTCTTTCTGAGAAAATACTATATGACAATTATCTCATTTCATTATTGTTACAAACCTATCACCAATCAAAAAGCAAAGTAATCGATCTCCGAGAGACTAAGTAACTTGCCCAAGGTCACACAGCCAGTAAGTGGCAGAACCAGAATTCAAACCCAGGTCTCTGTGCTCCAAACTCATACTCTCTGCATTACCCACATAGTCTGCGGGGAAGAATTTCTGTAGATGCTTTCTCTGTACTTCTCGATTTTATACAGCAGGATAATTTTATCCCTACTCACCAAGTGCCTTAGCATGGAAACACCAACACATAGGCAGCAGTGTAATGAGTCTGTTCTGTTTGCCTATTTTTTTCTGACCTGTCTGGCTACCTTTCTATCAATTTGCAGTTAAACATCAACTTAGAGAAAAGTCACGTTTCCAAAAAGTTTATATGTCAAGGGTGTCTCAGGTTATGAAAACTGAATTTGCCCAGCCAATTTTTCTAAACTCTGTCTGCTGCTTCCTGATGGCACACAGGAGAAGGAGGCACAAACACATCAGCTGTAACAGAGAGTGAGCAGGGGACAACAACTGAAAGGACTGTGGCTGGAAAAACTCCTCAGTCGCGTATTTTTAGATACAAGGTAACAACCAACAAAGGAGAAGAAGGTTATACAGTAGCCATAGGTCTTGTAGGTAAACAAGAAGGAATTTGAGTCATATGTTGATCATAAGTCTTATGGGAAAACAAGAAGAGTAGGGTGTGCCTGGTCAACCAGCAAGTAATTAGTAGTTGAGCAAGCGCACTTAAAGGGATTACCTTAACAGAGGGTTTCTCTGAGGCAGGGGAGACAACGAAAAAGGGAAGCAGGTGGTTGGTGTTCGCCAGGAGCCAGCCAGGTGTTTCCCGCTGCTCAGCTTCCAGGATGTGTACCATTCTTTCCACCAGAGGCCCGCTGCTAGTACATGTTCTTCTCAAGGTCATCTTTAAGCATGCTTGTGTGACCGGTACAATTTCTAATTATTTATATTTTAAGCAGAATATTTTTCTGAGGGACAGTTATATCTGTCCTTGTTACGCTGTCCTCTACCATAAAACTCACACAAATGTGCACACACACACAGCACTACTTAATGCCAGGCCCACTCTAAGCACTTACTCATTTGAATCCTCATAACAACCCTACGTCAAAGGCACATTATCTTCATTTCTAAAGATGAGGACAAGGAGGCACAGAGAAGTAACTTGCCCACAGATGTATGAGTGACAGGAAGCAGGACTGGGATTGAAAGACGAAAAGTCTGGCTCCAGCATCCACCCCATACCCATGACCCTCTCCTGCCTTCACTGGTCAGGGAGCCTGCAGCCCACCCGTGAAGCCAGAGTTGCTGGCCTGGAGCAGCACTTGTCACCTGAGCAAGGAATCCCTTCCGACTCCATCTGGCAATCAGCAGCCTCTTCCACAGAAGGGCCACAAACTGCTGCTGTGTGAGCTTCCAGCCCTTCACCTGGTAGGAGCCTTTGCCGTCCATCCCGCTGAGCCGGTCTGTTTCTCTGGATTCTGCAGGAAACCAACACCGAAGGTCACCTATTATCTGAGGCTGTTTTGATACCGCCTTGCTCTTCTTTTTCAGGCTTCTCCAGCAAGACTTCAAATCAGTAATATAAAGTTGAACAATACAACAGAAAATTGGGCAACAGTAATAAAGTGAGATCTCGAAAAATGAAAACAATATGTCCTACAAAATTATGGAAAGATGCTGAATTCACAAGAAATCAGAGAAATGTAAATTATTTCTCATATATAGATGAAAAAAATTATAAAGATGCTGTTAAAAGTAATGATGGTCAAGTAAAGCTAAAACACATTAAAATGAATTAATTACTCAGTTAGTAGGTATCTATGGCAGCTTGTAGAAGTGAAAAGAAATATACTGGAGAACAGTGGATAATGGGTCATTTGAGAGAGGTACTTCATGAAAAAAATATATCACAAACTAAGTGCATGACTGTTTTAAGCTAGAAAGTGTCTCATTTTATATGCAGGGAAAAAACCAACATATTTAGTAGCAATCTAAAATAAGTAGCAAAAGTTACAAAAATACTTCTCCCATAACATCTCTCTCCAACACCAGCTGGAAGGCACAGAAATTACTCAAAGCAATAGACCTGCAAAGCCTATTTCAAGAAATAATTATATTCATTAATGAGAAACTTAAAATGTTTAAACATTTTAAATAAACTGGCACTAGAATTCACTTTTAAATGCAAAACAAAAAGCCAATTAATACAAGACATCTAAAAAGGGATATAATAATATATATTAAACACATATGTTCATGTGTTTTACTAATAAAAACAATTTAAATACAAATAACTTCAAATAAAATCATACTATATTTAATAGTGAGTTACACACAAATCTTTCACTACTAATTCCAAGAAGACTAGCAACTAGGAGGCTGGTAGAGAAATATCAAGACGTGTTGACAAGCTGAAGAAGAACTCAATGCTCAACACACAACAGGTGCTTAATGAAAATATTCACTAATATGAGTAGAAAACTTAAGAAACACTGAATGAAAACTGAAACAATCCTGTCCTTTCTTTTGCTAATAACCTCCTTGCCCCACCCTCCTTCTGCCTATTCCATTTTGCACAACTCTTCCACATAGCTATTTACTCAAGAGATGCTGCCCAATTCATGACTTGTTGAATAAAGCCAATTACATCTTCACATCTTCAAATTTTAAACTTGAATTTCTGTCAACATCCTTTACTGAAATGTTTCTCTTCTAGTAAATAATCCTGTATCATGCACACACCAAAAAAAGGGAACTGTGAGATAACTCCACACTAAATGACTATAGCTTAAATTAAAGGAACTCAAAAATGACAATTAAAATAGCACAGGCTAGTTCCTGCTTTAATGAAGGAAAAGTAGTCTATACCACCATCTAGTGGCCCTTAGAATATTGCATGAAGGTACTTAGCCAGGGATGTCACCAAAAGACAGGCATCTAAAGTTTACACATAGAGCTACTGCCCTCCTTCCTACCCAGTTCAGACAGCACTGGATAGATCTCTCCTGCTTCCTTCTGCAGAGCTGCATGAGCTGGACCTTTGGACAAAATGATGTAGGAACACCATCAAGTGGATTATTGCCTTTGCACACGTATAATTTCCTCCAGCCTTTACTTGATACCTATTTTTTTAACAGTTTATTTTATTTTTAAGATTTTATTTACTTATTTGACAGAGATCACAAGTAGGCAGAGAGGCAGGCAGAAAGAGAGAGAGGGAAGCAGGCTCCCCACTGAGCAGAGAGCCCGATGCGGGGCTCGATCCCAGGACCCCGGGGATCATGACCTGAGCCGAAGGCAGAGGCTTTAACCCACTGAGCCACCCAGATGCCCCTGATACCTATTTCTTATGTAAGGTGTAAAAATTCATCTTCATACTCATCAGACCAAATGGACAAATTGGTCAGAAAAAAACCATACACTATGAGTAAGGGCATGAATTTGAAAGATGGTTTGTCATTGTTTAGTAGAGATGAATATGGTACATATCTTATGACCCAGCAATTCCATTCCTAGCTACATACTCTAACACAGTGCTTCCAGTACACAGATCCCCAAGGTTTCTATGGTACAATACAGAGGGTCTGGTAACTTAGATGGGAAAAAAATTATATCTCTATTGTGTTAAAAAAAAAAAAAACTAATTAAAAACGCAGGCCCAAAATGGCATCAGTTCAGTTAAGGCCCCAAGTCAGTAAACTAGGACTTAATACCTAATTGCAATATCAACCTTTCCCAGAAATGTAATCTTAACTGGTCAGTCAGGAATTTTCTGATAGGTGCCACTAAGACTGTCATGTGGCCCTCTCCAAGCCCCTAAAGATGAGGTAATCTGCATAAGAATCCCTGCTCTTCCACCACCCCACCAAGAGAAAGTGACCTTGCCTTGAACAATCCTTTCTCTTCCTTTGTTTATAATTCTCTTGCCCCACCCTCATTTCTATAAAAACCTTCCTTCTTGTACACCTCTTCAGAGCATCCCTCCACTTACTAGTGGGAGATGATGCCCAATTCATGAATCTTTTTAAAAACTGATTTATTTAAGAGAGAGCAGGTGCAAGCAGAAGAAGAGGCAGACGGTGAGGGAGGGAGAGAATCTTCAAGCAGACTCCCTGCTGAGTGTGGAGCCCAATGTGGGGCTCCATTCCAGAACCCTGAAACCAGGACATGAGCCAAAATCCAGAGTTGGCTGCTTAACTGATGAGCCAGCCAGATCCCCCATCATGAATCATTTAATAAAGGCAATTAGATCTTCAAAATTTACTCGGTTGAATTTTGTTTTTTAACAACTGTCACCAACTTCTAACTGAAAATAAGCATTTCCTTTAAGTATGAATGTAGGCAACAAAAAACAGTATTATTAATAGGACCAATGACTTTGTGAACCAATAAATATCATAGATATTGTCAAGTTACATCCAGAAGTGTTACAAACATACACAAATTTCTTTTATGCTTATCACTATTTACATTACGATAGTTGTCAAATCCAATGATTCTGTATCAATAATTTATTCTCAGGAGCACTTGGCTGGCTCAGTTAGAAAAGTATGTGAAACAATCTGAGGGTTTTGAAGGGGTGGGGGGTGGGAGGTTGGGGGATCCAGGTGGTGGGTATTGTAGAGGGCACGGAGTGCATGGAGCACTGGGTGTGGTGCAAAAATAATGTATACTGTGACGCTGAAAAAATAAAAAAATTTTAAAAAAAAGTAAAGTATGTGACTAGATCTCAGGGTTGTGAGTTTGAGCCCCATGTTGGGTGTAGATATTACATAAATAAATAAACTTTAAAAGAAGAATTTACTTTCATATTTTGATCATTTTAGCTGTATATGTTTTCTTTGCAAACCTGTGTATTTGCTAAGCATGTAAAACATTAGGGTTGTATAAGGGAGCAAGAATTCCTCTCCTCTCCAGGGTTTCTTCTAGGTGGACTAAGAATCATATTGACAAGAGACAGAATAACAGGAGAAAACCAAATCTAATAGCATATGTACGAATCCAAATAGATATGGAAATTCCAAAGAGGCAAAATGAGGTATATATGTCATCCTGAACTGAAGAGAAATGTGTAGGGTTCTAGAATTTCACAGGAAAAGAATGCAATAGGGCAGTAAGAAGAGCAGACATTTGGTAATCAGATGTTTGTCCTTCCATACAGATGGGTCACTCAGATAAAATTTATGTCTGGTAATAACCCTCATGCTGGCAAAGATCTTTAGATTTTTCTATGTACTTAAGAGAAGGGCAAAAGTTTCTCTTGAGGCTGCAGGGTCCTGATTGCCTTCAGCTCAAAATAATCTTTACGCCAACGAGGCCCATCTTGGAGTGACCTGACCTCAGTCCCTAGAGTTCCATAGGCCTACAAGATTTCCAAAGGGTTGGGGAGACTGGGTGGGTCAGTTGGTTAAGCATCTGCCTTCAGCTCAGGTCATGATCTCAGGGCCCAGGGATCGAGGCCATGTTGGATCCACGCTTAGTGGGGAAACTGCTTCTCGCTCTCCTTCTGCCCCTTCTCTCCTCCTCTCCCACGCGTGTGTGCGTGTCCACACGCGCGCACGGTGTCTCTCTCTCTCTCTCTCTCAATTTTCTGCTCTCTCAAGTAATAAAATATTTTTAAAGGAAAGACCTTCCAAGGGTGCAATGGCCATGTATGCCATTGCATAAAAAAGGTTAAAAATCCCTGCCATAGAGCAATTCTTCATATGGAAACAGGAGCAATCTATTAAAAAAACTCAAAACATCTTTGTTCATAATATCAAATGTACAAATATATATCCAGACAATGGAACAACATATAGCAGAGATATGTATTAATTACTGACTTCATCAAAATGCATGATTTCAAAAACTTTATGTCAAAGCTAAGAATCAACTAACAGAATGACAAAAGTGTCTGCTTTTACAAAGTTCGAAAATAGGCAAACCAATGAAATTTAGAGTTATACACAATGTAGTTGAATTTTGAAGAAAATGAATGCAATGATCAACACAAAATTCTGGGTCATGGCTGCTTCAGGCAAAGAGGTCGGGGAAGGTGTTGTAAGGGAGGAAAATGTGACCTGAAAGGAACACATTTTGGGCTTCTAAATTACTGACAATATTTTATTTCTTTCTTGGTGGCAGGGTAATAGGCATTCAATGTATTATTCTTTAAAGTATACTGACATATTACACCTACTTTTGGGTGTATATGATACATGTTTCATGTTAGATAGGCAACCTTAGTCCACTCAATCTAAAATAACTATGCAGTTGGTGTATATCAATATTAGCCTATTTTAATATTCCAGAGTTACCTAGTTTTCAACTATACCCAAAGTTTAGGATATACAAGGATATACAATGATAATTTTCAACATACATTGTGTATCTTCTAGGCAATACAAGGATTTGTTTCAAAACAAAATGTCACATAAAAACGTTTCATGTTTTTAAACAGTTCTTAGAGGC